TAACTTTTCCTTTTTACAATTAAACCTGATCATATATATTTTTCTAAAACCAGATCATATGTGTATAAGAATTATTGAATAGATAAAGTAGATAAAATTTTATTAAGTACACGTATATGCTTGCGTTTGCTTATTGTAATACTCGTAAATCTACTTTCATATTGTACTCGTATTAATTAAAATTATGAGTATATAAAATAATATAAAATGATTAATAATATAACAAGTTTTCCTAGATGATGTTACACCATATCAAATAATGCCAAAAAAACATCCTTATTTCTTGTTATCTATTTATATTTCTTACAACAAAGAAACCTATTATTTCATGTGAAGAAAATATAGTCCAAGTGATTAGCTTATACATGGAAAATCCAACTAAATTATATTGCTTTTAGGGCTTGTTCTCTTCAGCTTAATTTCTGGTCAATTCAGTTTCTAGTTTCTTTCTCTCATAAACAATTCATTTCAGTTCAGTTTTTCAGCTCCAATCAGTTCAATTCAGTTCAGTTTAATAAATCGAATAGGCTCTAATCGTGTACAAACTTAATATTTTGTATTTTAAATTGTTACCTTCCACTAGACTAAATCGCTTAACTTAAAAATGTGAGTGTGAACTATTGAATTATGTTGTGTATGTTGAATCATTATTAGTTGTGTATATATATACTGAGGGTTTCTTGCTATTTTACTAATTATCATTTTCTTTTTATAATACTCGATCATAACATTTACGGAGTAAAAGATAAAAACATGAATGGTATAATCTGGAAGTTTCTAGTAACAAAGTAGCAATAGAAGGTCTGGTAAGTTTAGGACCAGCTTAGCCTTTTCTGGATAACGCGTATGTCTAAATAAGCAAGTTTTATGGCCGACGATAACAGACAAAATATTCTGATTCGGTAGTCCTGTCCTCTTAGATCGCCTCACGCTATCCATCGATTTATTAACTACACCATCTCATAAATTCGCCAATAATGTTTTTGTCACACAAAAACAAAAATATATTAATACTATATTCTCGTACTGTATATGGCCGTATGGGTACTTCTTATTTCAATGTTCTTTCAATTTTTATTTTCATTTTTATTTTCATTTTTTTTTATTTTTTTATTTTTATGAATAGAAGAGTAAGGCCCTGTTTGATTCACCTTAATTTTACTGAACTGAAATTATTTTTACTGAACTGAACTTATTTTTACTGAACTGAACTTAATTTTACTGAACTGAAATTATTTTTACTGAACTTAAATTATTTTTACTGAACTGAAATTATTTTTACTGATTTTCTATTATAATTCTTCTTTAAGAAAACTGAATTTTACTGAACTGAACTTATTTTTACTGAACTGAAATTATTTTTACTAAACTAAACTTATTTTTACTGAACTGAAATTATTTTTACTTAATATTATTTTTTTAAGGTGAAGAGAACAGGGCCTAAATAAATAATTAGTCAAGTTCATTCTTTCAAAAAAAAATAAATAAATAATAATTATTCAAGCACTTTCTCAAAAAGTCAAAATTAAACCCTAAGTCTATAACTGGTCCGAAATAGAAAATACTACATAAGAAAAGTCACCGTTGTCTTTACATCGGTCATTTGAAACGTGACAACTAAATTATTTTAATGATAAGTAATTTGATCCGTTCCTTTTATCACATTACAATATGGACACAGTTTTAATCTTTTAATATCTACAATACAAAGTAAGTATAATTTTTGAAAATTTTAGTCCAAAATAAAGTGTGAGTACATAGTTAAAAAGAAACTATAAAATAAAATAAAAATTACATAAATGAAACTAGAAATGTAATAAATTAAAAAAATATTGATGATAGTATTTCATACCAAAATTATTTTTCTTTCTATTTCTCTCTTCTATAATAATTGTCTAGGAGATAGTGAAAATAAAAGTGTAACAACTGGTAAAAGAAAATGAAGGAAGTACTACCTATGATTTTATAACTAGCAACTAGATCCTGTCATCATATCCAATAATAACAATGTCTAATAAAAGTTCTTTAAATCTAACTATAATCGTACACCCATTAGATTACGTACTCTGTACATAAGCTAAGCATGTAACAACACACGTTTGTATGAGCTAGAGTTGATCTTGTAGCTTACTTCGTGGCAATGTGGCAAGTTAATTCCTTGGCAATGATGATAGAAAAAGAACAATTAAAAAATGGGTAAAAGGAGGAAAAATTAGTAGTGTTCGTACCATGCGTTGGACCAATGCAATGAAGTCTTTTAATTAATATTCTATCACTCGGCAATAAAATGGAAATAGTACGTGTACATAGTTGCACATTACAATAACATACCACAGTCAAATGAGTTTTTATGTAAGCCAAAATCATACGGGTAAATTTATTTGCATCTAGAAAAAATTGAGCCAAATTGTATCGTAAATCAAAAATAGAATTTTACAAATAATGTAGTGTTCTTAATGAATATTAGAATTCTTAAAGTTCATAAGACTCTATATGCATAAATGTATGCGTGAAATAACAAAATTATAGTTTTTGTAGAACAAATGATTTGATAGTTTAATTTTTGATCAAAAGATTGTCAATTTTATGATGATCATATGGAAACAAAGAGAATACTAGCTATATATAATTAGTGTAACTCCTTAGTAATTAAAAAAAACATATTCATTTTTTATATTTCAAATACAATTCTAATTAATTAGTTTCAAAGGATACTTTAAAAGGCCAACCTTTCATAAATTGTTACAACAATAAGAGATATTAGTGATGGAAAACACGTATGTTAATTCCAGTGTGTAGTAATTCATACGCAGCTATTAATTGTATTAAGATAATTAATTAATGAGAATTTATTACATAATTGACCTAATTATGAAAGTTGATGGAAGGAGGCTGGTCCTAAATTCGACGTGTCTTTTAGACTTTCAAAATTACAAGCTTACAACTAATAGAAACACCAAATTTGTTGGAGTTTTTATTAGTACTCCTTGATCCGTTTCGATATCATTACACTTTGATCTTCTTTGTCTTCAATGCACATTTTTGACCATATATATTCATATGATCTGAGTAAAACTTTGAAAAAATAGAAATTTTGAAATCATTTCAATAAAACGAATCCAACAGCAATCCACATGATATAGTTTTAATCTTTATAATCGTAAATATTTATATTTAAAGTTTTTAAGCACTTACTACCAAAGTCAAAATGTAATCATAGAAAAGTAACACAGGAACTAGGGCGCAAGTATGCCTATGTATTTTGGAAAGAATATAAAAGTTTTGAATTCATGAGAAAGAAAAAATCCGGGTATAAAAATTTTAAGAAAATGTTATGAATAAGGAAATAGAAATTATTACGTTACCGAAAAATGTCAATTGTTTTGATTATCAATAATTAAAGTTATTATAATGCTATCGAAGATAGGGGTGTCCATGATTCGAATAAAAATCGAAATCCAATCCAATTCAAATTGGATCCAAACTTTAATTCGGATTGGATCCAAACTTTAATTCGGATAGGATCAGATTGTATTTTTGTAAAAAATTGGATTTTCAGATCGGATCATCGGGTTGACCTTATTTGGATCCTAAAAAATGGGATTAACTGAAATATGAAATCATACTTTTACAAATAATGGTTTGTTTATATTAATCATGTAAGATTATGTTGATAATTACATTAATATAATTATGCAAAACTATGTTTTCAATACTTGCATTAATAATTTACAACTTTATAATTGCATTTTTATTTTTATAATAACTTTAGGCCCTAAAAATTTGCAATTTATTTTAATTCCGATTTTCGGATCGAATTCAAATAATCGAATTGTAATTCAAATTGGATCGAATTGGATTTGAGAATTAAAAACCGAATTTTATTTCGGAACGGATTGGATTTGACCAAAATTCAAACTGAAAACCAAATAGACACCCTAGTCCAAGATAATTAAGATCATGTAGTGCAAAATTAAAACTAGGATCATCATCTTGGAACCGACAGAGTATTTCTTATTATGATTTTTAACTATAGTAACAAATGCATAAAGGTTCTAATCCACCAAGATTTTAAATACACAATAAACAAAATTTTAAGTTTTTGGTATATTGGGATCTCCAAATGAATGCTCTCGGGCATTAGATATAGCTATTCAAAATATTTCTAAAAATGATATTAATCTTGGCATGCATGTCAAATTTACGTGTCAATCGATGTTAATCATGTATATTTCTTTTTGATAAGTATATTTTTGCTCTCGTATCTAACACAAATGCAGGGCTTTCATTAGTTTTTGTCTTTTTCTTTCTCTAATTACTAAAATATCTCAAGTCATCTTCCTCAATTTATAGTAGTAGTGAACAAATTTTATAGAAAATATCAATGATATTTATGAATATTTGACAGTTATATAATTGAAATATTATGTGAAATTTATTTGTATAATTGCAATATTATATGAATATCAATGACATTTATGAATATTTGATAGTTATATAATTGCAATATTATATGAATTTATTTGTATATTTGCAATATTATATGAATATCAATGACATTTATGAATATTTGATAGTTATATAATTGCAACAACTTTAACATGATATTTAATTTTTCTAAATATTTTGAGATGATGACTCGAACCAAAAAAATAAAACATATATATGAATTTATTTGTATTTTAATAGGTGTATTTTTTTGTAAGAACTCAATTTCAGAATTTTAATACAACTCATACAAGGCCCCAAAATATTTGAGACCGTCACAAAATAATCTATAAAGTTCTCATCAAATAGTAAAATTAGTAATATTTTGGAAGCTTTGAGGCAAGAGAGAAAGACAGAGTGATGATATTGACAACATAATAAAATTGATCCTATCGATTCATCCTTCCACAATTGCATGCCAAACGCATGGACGAGCTCAAATATATAAATAACTTAATTATTTGTTGATGGGTCCTTTTTCCCCCTATATAAACACTTTCATTCACTCTCCTTATTTCCTCACATAAATTACAAACCAAAAAAGAAATCAAGTGTTCTTTTCTAATACACTAAAACTTCTCTCACTTTCCAAATTATTGGGAAAAAAAAGGAGAGAACTAAGTGTAAGAAATTACACTAAAAGAAGAAAGAAAGGAATAAAAAGAGATTTTTTTGTTTAACTACCAAATATTAAACCATGCTTACCATTCACCACCCTTGGGTTTTTGCCTTTGGTATACTAGGTATGTACACCATGCATATCTTATCATTTTTACTTACTTTCATTTTTGTTACAAAATTATTTCATATCTATTCATATGTGTATATTTATTTTCTTAAAATTCATCTTCAAAAGACATTTCTTTTGAAACATTACTAGGTTATATTTTTCGGGTTTTCAAATTTCTTTGATATCTATTGCTCTTGTTTAAATTCGTAACTAGTTGCTTCACCATGCATTCACTTACATACTTCTTTTGCTTTTAATTAATTCTGATCTTTAAGCAAAATTTTTTTATACATTTTTGCATTATTTTCACTAGTTTTCTATAAGTTTTGTAAAAATTAGGTTAATTATTTATTACCTTTTTTTATTCTGATTTTGAGATTTTCTTATTGCACTATATCCATCCTTCCCCTTTTCAATTTACATATTTATCCATCAATCTTGTAGCAACGTATAATATAAAATTATACACCCCAAAAAAAAAAAAAAAAAAAAAAGAAAGAAAGAAAAGCCTAGTATTATACAAGGTACTTCATGAAGTATTATACAAGGTTATGACTCATGAAAAATGGTTTTCATGTGAATAACTACCATTAATAATTTTTATACTAATTTAATTTTGTTACTTTATCTTTTTACTATACAACTTTCTATACACAAATCAAATTGCATGAACATTATTCACCTGAAAATCAAAAAAAATTTTAACCTATCATTTTAGTTTAGTCAATCATTTAGCATTTGGACAAGGACTAATCATTTTTGTCACTTTGTGTGACTCAATTTTATTACAGGAAATGTCATCTCTTTCATGGTGTTTCTTGCACCACTGTAAGTACTTTAATCATGCTTATTTCGATTAATCTATGCGTTAAACACTCGCTTTTCCCTAATGATATGCTTAATTTTCTCTGTTGGTTCGACCTAAGATATATTATTATAAGCATAACTAGCACAACTGTAAAGTTTGATGATCTAATTATGTTATTAATTACTTTTTTGATTATTTTACAGGCCAACTTTTATAAGGGTGTACAAGAAAAAATCAACAGAAGGTTTCCAATCACTTCCTTATGTAGTTGCTATCTTTAGTGCTATGCTATGGATCTACTATGCTTTGCTAAAGGGCAATTCCATCCTTTTGATCACTATCAATGTTGCTGGAGTTATTATTGAGACTATTTACGTTGCCATATACATTACCTATGCACCAAGGCAAGCAAGGGTATGTACTTTACGACTATACATCAAATTCTTATTTGAATTGTCTCATAAATAATTCTTGTGTCATACGGTTAAAGGTTTTAGTGAAATACGTGGTTACTGACTAGGTTTGTCGTTTTCCCATCAAAACCTCAACAAATCAAAAAATTTTATGAATAATTTTGTTCAATAAGATCTTTTTTACCAACCTCGTAATATAAAATAACCTGATTTAATAATCTCTACTTTATTATAGTGATAAGATCCGTATAGTATACAAAAATCAAATAGTTTTCGCTTGGGATAAAAGTGAACACTCTAATTTCTTTATTTTTATTTTTTTTTGTTTTTTACTTGTGTCGACGCTACTTGCTAAAAACATAGAAAGTAGCCGTACAAGTTTACATAACCTGAAAATATCATACGCGTAAATATGTTCTCATATATGTGGATACCTTGTTTTTGCAGTTATCAACTTTGAAGCTACTATTGTTGATGAATTTTGGAGGGTTTTGTGCAATTGCCCTCTTTTGTCACTACTTATTTCACGGAGCAGTTCGACTTCAAGTTTATGGATGGATCTGTGTAGCAATCTCTATTAGTGTATTCGCGGCACCCCTTAGTGTCATGGTCAGTACACAATAATACACGATTTCTAATCAAGTGAAAATGATAAGTTATATTTAAACATAAACTAAAAATACGTGACTTAATCCGAAAGGCATTAACAATTAGTGTTTAATTAGTTATTTTTTCCACCTTAAAGTACCATGTTAAAATTAATTTACGTAGGTTAATTAAATAAATTCATTTTCTATTCTCTTTTGATGATCACCATAAATTCAGTGACTAATTATTATTGTCTGAACCTTAAACCTTTTACAGAGGACGATGATCCGAACCAAGAGCGTGGAGTACTTGCCAATCAACTTGTCATTGTGTCTAACATTAACGGCTACCGTATGGTTCTTTTATGGATTTGTCCAGAAAGATCTATACATAACAGTAAGTCAAATTTATAGATCAATATCAACTTAATTAATATCAATAAATATATATAGTACATATACAAGTATGTATTTCTTTCTTTCAAAAAAAAAAAAAAAGTATATATTTCTTGTATAATATGATTACTTAATTATGTTATGATATTATTGGCAGCTTCCAAACGTTGTGGGGTTCGTATTTGGCGTGGCACAAATGGCACTCTATGCATTTTATAGGAAATATGACAAACAAGCTGAAAAACAGAAGATACCAGAATTTGTAAGCCCAATTAAGCAAGAAACAGTTGAGATACAATCAATTGATAATAATGTTACAAACAAAACTGAGGATATTATTCTTCCACATGAAGACCCTCAAGAAATTGAGGGTGTAATTGGTGACAAAGATAATGTTATTATTGATGATGAGGAGGTGGGTAATTTATACGGGCCGCCACACGGCCCATCGACATGCAACGTGGACGAGAAGATCGTTGGTGGGCCCGGAGGCCCGGCATGGGTTCAATGTGCCGTTTGAGCTAGGGCAATTGGTACCATGACCAAAAGTTTTGGGTTTCTTAATTAATTCTTGTTTATTTTAATTTCCCTTTGCCAATCATCCCTTCAAAATAAATTAAGAGTAGGGTAAGAAAAAAAAATGGGGTTATTAGATTTTGTAAATTTGATGTAAATTTTTAAGGCCTTTAGTGGGGTCCACTTTTGGTGATGAAGGGCACCTTATTAAGGTTGATTGGAGGGTCACTCTCCCTAATGTTCCTCCTCTTATAATCCACAAAGGCACCCATTATTGTACTATTGTCTATTTTCTCTCATTTAATTGAGTTTTTGGCTCTTTTACAAATATTCTTCCAATTGTTTGGTTAAGATGCTTTATTATCTTATTTTCTCTATTATGGTTTTGTAGTATTTTGCTTGATTATTATATTTGTGAGTTAAATTTCAAAAGAAGATAATTGTATGAACGGAAAATTGTTGATACTTCGTGTAACGAATCGATAATCGTAAACACATTTGATTGTAACAATTAAAATAAACTTATGCACACTGCCAATAGTATTTCATGAAATTTCAAAGTCTATAATTGGTGTAACGAACTAATATTTTTTTCTTGCTTGTTGGTAATATCACTTATTAGTCGTCTCTATCGACTACTCAGACAAACTAATATTCTCTCAAAAAAAATCCTTCATTTTGAAATTAAAATATTAATTAATTTGTTTTACCACAACTTTAGTTCATTTTTAACAGTTTCTACAAATATACATGATTAATTCAAAAATTTACCATTTGTACAATACATGATTTAAATAGTACTATTATTTTAAAAAATTTACCATTTGTCCTATACATAAAAATTAATTCAAAAAAGATGTGCATGAATATATTTTTTTAATCATATAAAAGCAAAAGGAGTAAATTATTAGCTTAAAACTTTGTATAAGATAGTCTAAGAACCTAAGGGCATAGGTTAAGACTCCAAACAATCATACGTCTCACCTTGTTATTGTTACTAGGTACGTTTTCTTTTTTCTTATTTGTTCACATGTGACATGTTTATGTACTAGAGAGTAGATATATGCTCAAACGAAACACTTTGTCACTAAGAAGCTTAACTTACGTGAATCGTTATTTGCATATACGTTGAATTAATGTGAAAAAGTTATAATACAAGAAGGTTACATGTTGAATTCTACTACGTACGTCATTACTTTCAAGGGTTGGACTTATTATCTTATAGAATTGACCCTAACATTTCATATGCACCAAAAAAATTTAAGTCAAATATGCACCTGTCAGTTTGTCTTTTGCTTCTTTATCTCCCCTCGTACCCCAGCGGCTCACCCCACCAAAATAAATAAATAAATAAACATAACATGAAGGCATGAAGCCAATAGACAACCTATTTTTTTTTTTAAAAAAAAATTGTACAAAATTTAATTGAATAATATTTTTAAACAAATTATTTTAAGAATAGTTGCAATTAACAGGTGAGAATTATTTGCTTCAAAAAAAAAAAAAAAAAGGTGAGAATTATAAATTTAACTAGTTATTTGTCCGAACAACAATTTTTTTATTTTTATTAGTTACACCAAGTTTGTATATATATATATATATATATATATATATATAAACAGATTACCAAAGGTGAGAGAAAACGCAAAAGGATTCTGTCCCTCGTCTAGGGTTCCTCGTTGACTTGAGCTTTTTCGCAATTAAGGTAGTGTAATCTGTTTGTTCTCTTTGTTTTCTTGCCCTTTTGCTGTATCATGGAGTCGGATTTACTCAAAGATTGGGAGAAATTGAGTTTGACAGAGGAGGAGAACGAAGTTATAGGTAGCACGAATGATTCTTTGAACGATAACGATGTTGATACCCAAAGTTCCCTTACTCTGGTTGGAAAATTACTAACTAATAAACCTTTCAATGTTGAGGCATTGAAACGAACCCTAATCTCTGTGTGGAGGGCAAAAGATGATGTTGCGATTCGAATGGTCGAAATTAATCTCTTTGTCTTTCAATTTTTCAATGTTGAATCAAAGGATAGAGTTATACAGGGCAGCCCGTGGTTTTTCGACAACAAGCTCGTTGTTCTCAAGGAGATGTCTGGAGATGAACAACCTTCGGAGGTCACCTTCTTGCATTCCCCGTTCTGGATTCACCTTGAGGATGTTCCTTTCAATAAGCGCACTGCTGCTATTGCCGAGGAGGTTGGGAATTGCTTGGGAGGGTTTTTAGAATATGACGATACAAACCCTATTGGCTGGGATAAGGTAATGCGAATTAAGGCGCTTCTTGACATTGCCAAACCCTTGCGTCGAGGATTAAGGATTGCTACTGGAACATCTTCTTCGAAGTGGGTGGGTTTGAAGTATGAAAGGCTGACTGACTATTGTTTCTACTGTGGCAGATTAGATCACACCAAGAAGGAGTGTCAATTTCTTGACAGTAATGAAGGTGCTACAGAGGAAATTGTTTTTCAATATGGACCTTTTCTTCGTGGATCTCCCCATAAAAGGTCACGCAGCTCTGATTCTGAACGTGCTAGAGGCATCCCGGCCTAGTCAAGAAGATTAGAGAGCAGCATGCTTCTAGACGCCCAAGTTACAATGATCCCAGTGCTATTAAGTTAGGCCTCCAAGGGCTGCTAGAAAGTTGCTCTTCGAGTCCCCTCAACCACTCAAGAGAAGCCAAGTTCCTATTGTCATTAGGCGGAGGACACCTGAAAGTGATGATGCACAACAAGGGAATGAGACTGACCCAAAGCCTGCTTCTGATGTGCCTAATCTGGAACTTGTGGAACATGATCACCCCCCTGCTGGTGCACAACCTGCTCCTGAGATTTTTTACGAAGAACAGCACATGACTATTGAGTATGATAACACACCTGTTGCCAAGTCAGGGTCGAAAAAGGGGAAGAAAATCACTCGAAAAAAGGAGCAGAACACCCCTAGTGCTGGTCTGTATGAGCAGAGTGGCAAAAAAAAAACTACATGATAATCTTAGTGGTGTTGAGGAGATTGTGGCAGACCATGAGAAGCGAGCAAAGCTTGATATGGGAATGCGGATTGAGTCAGAATCTTTTGAAGTAGCGGGTGTTGGTGCTATCCAACCCCGCGAACAACAATGAGTTGCCTATGCTGGAACGTTCAGGGATTTGGCAACCCTCGAGCTATAAGTGCACTTCGTAGATGTGCAACTCCCTTGCCCCGGAACTCATCTTTCTCTCTGAGACAAAGATCGGTAAGTCTGCTTGTGAAAATAAAAAGACCACTCTTGGTTTTGATTGTGCTTTTAGTGTTAGTAGTGTAGGGTTGTCAGGCGGTTTGTGTTTATTTTGGAATAGCAATAAAGTTAATTTTTCTTTAGTTTCTTTTTCAAATAACCACATATGTGGAGACGTGAGCTCCTCGGAGCTAAGTAGTTGGAGGTTTGTTGGACTTTATGGTTGGCTGGAGTCCTCGAATAAATGCAAGACTTGGTTGTTGATCCGTGAACTCTGTCAGCAGTACCAGGGACCGATTCTCATCGGTGGTGATTATAATGAGATACTCAGCTCTGATGAAATTGAAGGAGGGGCTGACACATCCAGAAGGGACATCTCTGCTTTTCGAGACACTCTTGATGCTTGTGACCTGCGTGACTTAGGTTGTGGTGGGACTTGGTGTACTTGGGAACGTGGGAAAGAGGAAGGGAAGGTAGTGAGGGAGAGGTTAGATCGAACCTATGGTAATTAGAGCTGGTTTGCCTTATTTCCCGAAGGTCATGTTGAACATTTAGTCAGGTTTAAATCGGATCACACACCGATTTTAGCTCGACTTAAGAGGCCCAAGCGCAAGAGGAAGAGGGGAAAGAAGTCCTTTAAATTCGAGACAGGGTGGCTCCTTGAAAGTTCATGTGAATCAATTGTTCGACATGCTTGGGATGAGTCAGCTGGGTTGCTAATGGAGCAGAGGCTTGAGCTGCTTATGAGCACGTTAAGGAGATGGAGCAGTAAGAAGTTCAATAGTTTGGATAGACAAATCAATGATACGGAGTTGTTGCTGAAGGATGCCCAAGGTAAAGAGATGAACAATGGAAACCTGAAACTTTGTTCTTCTTTAATGGCCAAGCTTGATGGGTTGATTGATAAGCAAGAGGCAACTGGTACCTTCGATCCCGTGTTCCTGAAATAAAGGATGGTGATAGGAACACCAAGTATTTTCACCATAAAGCTTCTCAGAGAAGAAAGAAAAACGAGATTATAGGATTATTCAATAAGGAGAGACAATGGTGTGATAAGGAAGATGACTTAGAGTATGCCGTGACTGACTTTTATGAGGAGCTATTTACCTCTTCTATGCCCTCTCCGGAGGGGTGTGCAAAGGTCCTCGAGTCAGTTGAGAAGGTTATTTCAGAAGATCATAACTCCGAGCTCCTAAAGCCTTTCTCCAAGGATGAAATTTTTGCTGCTATTAGTTCGAAGCATCCCTGCAAAGCTCCGGGGCCAGACGGTATTCATGCCATTTTTTACCAAAAATTTTGGCACATTGTCGGCGATGATGTGACAAATCAGGTGTGCAACATTTTGCATGGTATCCGTTCTCCGAAGCAAATGAATAAAACGAATATTGCTCTCATTCCGAAGGTCAACTCCCCCACTTCTATGTCTGAATTTCGACCGATTGCTTTATGTAATGTCATTTATAAAATTGCTTCAAAAGCAATTGTTCTCCGTCTAAAGAATATCCTCCCTGGAGTTATTTCTGAAAATCAGAGCGCTTTTGTTCCGGGGCGCCTAATCACTGATAATGCTCTGGTAGCCTTGGAGATTTTTCATACCATGAAGAAACGGAGCACAAGCAGAAAGGGGTCGATTTCTCTGAAGTTAGATATGAGTAAGGCATATGACAGGGTGGAATGGTTTTTCTAGAGCAACTTTTACTAAAGATGGGGTTCTCTTGGGACTGGGTCCGAGTTGTTATGCAATGTGTGACTACTGTTTCGTACTCGTTCATTATAAATGGCGCGGTTTATGGTGATTTAACCCCGTCTCGAGGCCTTAGGCAGGGTGATCCGCTCTCTCCCTATCTTTTTATTCTGATTGCAGATGCTCTATCAGGTATGATCCGGAAGGCGGTGGAGAACAGATCTTTACATGGAGTACGTGCTAGTAGAAATGGGCCGGTGATATCCCATCTCTTTTTTGCGGATGACGGTTTACTTTTTGCTAGAGCCAACCGAGTGGAATGCTCAAAAATTGTTGATATCCTCAACTTGTATGAAGCAGCTTCCGGGCAGAAAATCAATTATGAAAAGTCGGAGGTCTCTTTTAGCAAAGGTGTGTGTGAGTCGACGCAAAAGGAGTTAATTGAGCTATTGGGAATGAAAATAGTGGATGCTCATGAGAAATACTTGGGAATTCCTACTATCATCGGAAGATCTTAAAAGTCAGTTTTTGCAGCTCTGAAGGACCGTATATGGAAGAAACTTCAAGGGTGGAAAGAGAAACTTTTGTCAAGGGCCGGGAAAGAGGTGCTCATAAAGTCGGTGATCCAAGCAATTCCAACATACCTTATGGGTGTCTACCGAATTCCTTCTGGAATTATTAATGAAATTCGATCGCTCACTGCAAAGTTTTGGTGGGGGGATTCGAATGAGAGAAACCATTTTCATTGGCGCAATTGGGATTCTATGTGCACACCTAAATGCCTCGGGGGCCTTGGCTTTCGGGACATGGCAGTTTTCAATCAAGCACTCCTTGGTCGACAAGCTTGGCGTCTTATACATGCTCCTTCATCCCTTCTTGCTCGGGTTCTAAAATGTAAGTACTACCCAAATTCATCATTTCTTGACTCTTCGTTGGGTTAGCTTGGTAGTTATTCTTGGCAAATCATTTGGGGTTCGAAATCTTTGGTAAAAGAAGGATTGATATGGAGGGTCGGAGATGGGGCTGACATTGACATATGGGAAGACCCTTGGGTGGCTGATGAGCACGGTCGTTTCATAACAAGTGACAGAGCTGCCTCCGTCCTTAAGGTATGCGACTTAATTAATTCTGAAAGTAAGGAGTGGGATTACAACCTGGTGGCTTCCACTTTCAATGAGAGGGATGCGAATTGCATTATGTCTATCCCTCTTAGCTCTCGTGAGATGAAGGACTCCTTGACTTGGGCATTTTCAATGGATGGAATTTACTCCGTCAAAACCGCATACTTTCTTGGAAAATCTTGTAACTTGGATGACTTCCACCATGCTTGGGTATTGATCTGGAAGCTCAATACAACCCCCAAAGTACGACATTTTTTGTGGAGACTATGTTCTGCTTCCCTTCCTGTTCGTTCTCTATTGAAGAGAAGACACATGATTGATGTGGATGAATGTCCGTGGTGTGATAGTGTAGAGATAGCCCATCACGCCTTTTTTGAATGCCATACGGTTAGACAGCTCTGGGAGGAATGTGGTTGTAAGGAGCTATGGTCTGATTATGCCGAGTTGAGCTTCCCCGAGTTAATTGCTTCGTGGGACAAGATGGATGGAAAGAAATGCCAGACTAGAGCAGCACTAATGTGGCAGATTTGGTGCAGGAGAAACGACAAAGTTTCTAACCAAGTCGAAATCTCGCATTTGGCTATTATAGGGAGAGTTCAGAGACTTGTTGCTGACTATAACAAATACACCACCAAAATCTATGGTAGCATTTCTAGAGCAAAGTCGAGCAGCCTCAAGAGATGGAGCGCTCCACGCAATGGGTTGATAAAAATAAATTGCGATGCCTCTCTCACGGTGGAAGGTTGGGTGAGTCTTGGGGCAGTGGCTAGGAATGAAAAAGGGGAGGTTCTCTTTGCGGGCTGTAGGCGAATGCGGGGTAGGTGGCCACCCGTGGTTGCTGAAGGGATGGCGGTACGTTTTGCAGTGAACTTGGGTCGAAGACATGGCTTGAAACATCTAGTGGTGGAATCGGACTGTCAAAGTATTATCTCAAGACTCCAAGCTGGGGCTATTTATTTCTCGGATCTCGACAAAATCCTTGATGATATCCTTGTTACTAGTATGCATTTTGATTTTATTAGTTGGTCACATGTTAAACGAGAGGGTAATTATGTTGCCCATCACCTCGCTAAGTTAGTGCCTTTTGGGGTTGAACAAATTTGGGAGAACCATTGTCCTAGTGATGTTGCCCTGTATGTACTTATGGACACCTTGTCTATATATATATATATATATATATATATATATATATATAATATATATATATATATATATATATTTATATATATATATATATATATATATATATAACACACGTTATCAAAATATCATAAATGAGACACATTAATATAGAGTATCTCTATTGTTTCAGACCTTGTAGTTTGCTGACAAATTATGAATTAAATTGAGTTATAATCCATATTTTTAGTAGGAAATGAACAATTCATTTTATAGATTAATGAATGAAGATTCAAGGGAATATAAAAGATTTTCTAATCTTTATATACTTCATATAGTTAAAAAAAATTTAGTTTGGATTTTCTATCTACAATAATAAACTTCAATTAATTGACTATATATGAAAATTCTAATTTACGCAACTGAGCTGAACTGAACTAAGCTGAATAGAGCTGAAATGAATTGTTTATGAGAGAAGAAAATTAGAACCTGAATTGAACTGAATTGATTAGAGCTGAACTGAACCAAACTGAACTGAATTGAAATTAAGCTGAAGAAAACATATCCTTAAATGGTAAAAAATCACTAATTTACTATGACGTTATTTTAATTTTTTCTTATTTATTTATAAAGCAAAGAAAAAATATATTATTTATTTAAAGAAGTTGTACGTTATTGTTCTATATTTTAGGGATTTTAGGCTATAGACGTTTTTATAAAATAAATCATCTTGTTATATACTATGTATCAAGGAAAAAAAAGAAAAAAAAAGTTTTGGTGGGAAAATTTGAATTGTGAACTCGACACGTGTACGTAGTTATGGGATATTTTTGGTTATATTAATATAGTATATAGTATTGATATTCGGTTTTAGTTAACATGATTTGACTTTTTAACTATTGTAATTCTACTTTATTTGAGTATACCTTTTTTCAATTATAGTTATTAGAGAACATAATCATATGTGATCTTATTTAAATCGTCTCAATGTATATATTTAATAATATCAATTTACCAATTTTACTTATTGCTAATTAGAGATAATAATAATCATTGAACTTGTACATTGACCAATGTGATCAAAGAAATGTATCGACTAAAAGAGGACAAATAAAGTACCATGTTCATATATTTTTATTAGCTTAGGTAAGCCCACTATCATGGGACAACCGTAGATCACCTGTGTAGCACCTGAATCCTCGATACTTAAGCCAGACCAATCTGTATCAAATGTATGTGTAGCAAGCATCATAAATAGCTACAAATGCATATAGCTCAAAGACACTAACCTGCACCTAGACACATGCTTGTATTTCAATATAGGAGAAGTGATACACATACACTAGGTGTATGAGGGGTAAACATACAACCCCAATAAAAAGCCGCCACATCAACATAAACTAAAAAATAAAGAGGGAAAAATGAGGGGGAAATTAATTGGGAAAATGGCGCTACAATGCAAGTTAGGCGGGAGTAATTCCTTAGTGCTAAACATGCATTAAAACTACCCTCCACTAACCCACTTCTTTTCAATTGAAAACCAAAAGGCTATTCCATGTATTAATATAATTGGCCGGAGAAGACAACTTTAACATGGAAGCCATTAATAAGGAGAAATTTTCTGGCAATGTGTGTTTTTTTTTAAATGCTCTAAAGATCGATAGTATTTTGAGTACTTCGTACTCATATTAAACTAATACACTCCATACCCGAATTAAACTAATTTTCAGTCCTGTTTGTTCATTTCTAAAGAAAACATTCAATGGTACATAACTTGAATTGTTATTTATCATCAAAGTGTGGTAATCTCTAATTAGTTCAACTATAATCGTTAAATATATATTTGTGTCAAAAATATTCGTTAAATATATATTCCACTTAATTTATTAGTTTTGTTTTGTTATTTGAATCTACTAATTTATTTTTGACAAACTTCTGGAATTATACAAAACATTATTTGATGACAGAGAAACTCGATAAGAACGTGTATTGAGTTCTAGTTGGTTTTAGTAAGATTAATGTTAAGTTAGTAACGAACAAATTATTTTAGTATCATGACAAGGACACGTTATGAGTTTTAGTTGGTCTTATTACCTTTTTAAGTTTATAATATATTAATAAGCTTGATATTAATTTAGTTACAATCCCTCAAAAAAAAATGTAGTGACAAAACCATTATTTTTGTATCCTAAACTATTTTTTCCTTACAATTTAAATGTTAAGACATTGATTTCTCAAGTCCACAATAATATTGTGAATGAACTAGGTTCACGCAAGTTTTTCCCCGACTCCGAAGTATTTATTGTATCTAAATTAGTAACAAAGTAATGTATTTATGCAAAAATACATATATAAAGTAAGGAATAACTCTTATAAGTTGGAGGGCTAAAATCAAATAGTAAAGGGTTATTTTTTTTTTTTTTTGAAAGAAAGTAAATGGTTAAAATTAAATAGTGGAGGGTTAAAATAATAACTATTGGAGTATACATAAAATATAGTAATCGGTTACGAATAAATAAAAAAAGAATTTAAAGTTTGTAACATGTTTACAATAAAAAAAATTATACTTTGTTACACTAATCTTTGCTCTATAATCCTTCTTTTTACATCTTTGTTAGCATTACTAATATGACCGTATTCTTTAATATTGACATTAGATAATTGATTATTATTAGACACTTCAATTAATCTTGTAATATATAAAAACTAATTATTCGATCAATTGTTTTACCAAAAAGTTAAATTATATATGCAAAACTAAAT